TTTAGGTGAAAGGGATTTTTGGCAGAAATTTAATATAAAATAATCCTAGTGATATTTTCACTGATGTGTTTCATCTAAATTGTGTGAATTGTTGATTATTTGACAGTAATTTTCTTTTTGGTAATGGCTTGTGTTCTCTTAGTATGAGTTATGGCTATAATCCGTGATCGCTGTCAGGTAAGCAGTGTTCTTGAAGACAACAGATAATCACCTGAAGGCCTTTACTGCTGCCGTAGTGAGAGGCTGATCTGCGTCCTCTCTGTTGTACCTCATGTGCTAAATCTACTGTCTTCATTGGCATCTCGGCAAATGATCAATTATATTTACTTGACATGTGATGACACATTCACAGTCCAGGTTATCATCAGCCGCTTGAAAAAGTGCGATAAAGAGAGGATTAGCAGATCAGAATAGCTCTGTGACGCTATAGAGCTGCTAACATTGACAATAGTTAGTTAGCAGGGTCAGGAGCTCATGTCATTATGCTGTTTGGCATTATCATCTCAGTTTAGCATTTGCTCAGTAACAGTAAACACAACATCTAAGCTGTATGTTATTTAAAGTTTTTAGCCCTGAACAAAAACATTGGGTAGAATAAAACATGTACCTAATGATGGCCATTTTTCAGTTGTTATACAACATTTACCCTGGACCAAAGATTGACTAGCAAGCAGACAGACAGTATCAACCACTGAGCAAATAATGAGTACAACTTACTAGTTGTCATGATTCTACCCCTGTGTTCTTGTTGTTTTGTAAGGCTTTTGATTTGTGTTGGACCTTGGAGACCTTTTGGATTTCTAATGTGTGGATAATTTTTTTGGGACTCATTGTTTTTATGGACTTTGACCTTGTTGTTTTCCTTCGGTTTATTTTTGGGATGTAAATGTTTGCACTCTGAGTTTATTAGTGGAAGTTTCATTTTGAAACGTCTTTCCTTGTGTGTCCTCTTATTTCACTTCCTGTCTTTGTTTGGTTCGTTTGTCTGTTGATGACCAGCCCCGCCTTCATTACCTTCACATGTGTCTTGTTAACTTTGTATATTTAGTCTGTGTTTCTCTTTGCTCAGGGCTAGTTTGTCTCGTCAGTTCTTCATCAGTTCATTAGTGAGTTTTTTTTTGTGATTTTTCTTGAGTGTTTTGCCAACTTCAACTTTTTTGATGTTGCCTTCAGCATTTTGAGTTTTTGGATCCTACTGTCAACCTGTTCACATACTTGTAAGTCAAAATTAAAACTGTTCATTAGGTCTGTCCTTGTTTTACAACTGCATGTTACATATTTTTTTCCTAAAGGTAACAGTAATATGCCTTCTTTCAAAGAATGTATGTCAAATGTCCCATTTGAAGAATTCATTACCTCCCCAAAGGAGGTGTTTGTCTTTCTGTTAGTCAACACAAAAAGTAGTGAACTAATTTCTGCAACATTCTGTGGAGAGGTGGGGCCTGTTCCAAGGAAGGATCAGTTACATATTGTAGCAGATTCAGATAAATGGGCTGAACAATTTTTTTCCCCCACTTTCTTTAAAGGATCAGTGCGTAGAATTTGGTGACATCTTGTGGTGAAGTTGCATGTTGCAGTTGAATACCCCTTACCTCACCCTCCCCTTCCAAACATGAACGAGAACCTGTAGAAACCTTCAGTTGTCATAAAAACTCAAAATATGTTTAGTTTGTCCAGTTTGGACTAATGTAAAAAAACATGGGGTCATCTGTAGAGAGGAACTGCTCAAGAGCCCATGTCAAGAAAGTGTTTTAGCGTTGGTGGATGTATGTGCACTCCAAATGCCTTTCTAGTTCATGGTTCATTCATAAATCATTAAATTTATATTTATTTCATATTTATGTATAGTTCAGGTACCTTAATGTATAATCAACCCTCATCACTTCATGGATCAATGTGAGAGACCAATGCATTTATTGATAGTGAGACCGGACACCTGTCAAGTCAGGTGTCTTGAGGGATTGACCAAATGCATAGGCATGACACACAATGTATGTAATTGTACACTAAATAATACTACTAACTGCTTTACCAAAAGAAAGAGAAAACACCATCCATTTTCAATTAAATCAACAGCATGAAAAGCATTACTATAGAGTACACTTTTTAAAGCTAGTTAAGCATTTCGTAAAACACAAACATTTTAAGGTTATTTAAAAGAAGTGGTGTCAAAAATGCCCCAAAAAGTCCCCTAAATATTGATTATTGGTGTCTGATGAGTATAAGAGGAGCATTTCAAACTTTTGTATTTGAGAATTAGTTTTTAAACACGGTGCACTTGCAGGTTTGTATTTTTAGGCTATTAATAAAATAAATAAATAAATAAATGGTCTAGTCCTGTTTGTTATGAATCTTAATGATTTCTGAGAAAGGCTTTTATAAGCTCAAAGGCAACCAACAAGTTTTTTCTCTTATTTACATTTGGTATTTTGCAGTCTGTGTAAATTCAGCTTATTAGGCAACCCTTCTTATTTGTGTATGCAGAGGAAATATTAGGAATCATGTCAACAATTTCTCTCTATCCATGAAACCTGTGATTAGAGCAGCTATCTGCCCATACTGTGTACAGGTAAGCATGCCCAGATGCGAATCAAAGGGCTCTAGACAACATCTAATGGCTCAGTATGTGTGATGAGACTGTGAAGGTGGATGCTGATTAGCCTCATTGTTCAACCAGGGTCACAAAAATGAAAAGAGTGAACACACCGGCTCCATGTCGCAACCTGTTTCAGAACTAAACAACATGCAGCGATAATGGTCACATACTCACAAATAAAAGAAAGGCTCCAAGGATATATAGTTAGATGAAAAGCATGTGTTTAAAAAATCTATAACAAAAAAAAGAAAATAACACTTTTTTTGTATTGGTCCATTACTGTCAGATGTGCATGACAGGGGAGAAGATTTCTCTATGATGTTTCAGACAGCAATCATTTTCTGTTTAATACAATCATATCATTTGGAAATGTTTAATTGGACCATGTGACAACAAAAGGCCCAAATAATTTATTATGAATCAAATTTTTTTACAAATAAAATGATACTGTGTGAAAAGCATCTAAACACATCACGAAAATATATCTTGAAATAAAATATTTCACGGTTGCACTGTTTACTGCTGTGTACCCTGCACATGTTTTCAATATGTTGAAATATCTCTGCCTGCTGTTCACTGTAGTTGAGAGGAATGCATGAAGCATCATTTTTGCTTTGAATGCAGCACCAAATATATGGCTGCTTGTCTAAGGCTTATCCCTCTAAAGGTTACCCTCGGGCCTCTGATAAGCTCTTGATTCATATTATATTAGATAGTGCTGGTATCTGCGGATCCTGTTGTTTCTAACAACATCCAGAGTGTAGCCCCAAAAAATATATAACGTCTCTAAATTCACATATTCATTTTACAAGCATAAACAAGCCCGACATATACAGAACATGAGGGAACAATTTTATAGGGATAGACTGTGTTGCTGAGAGTTTAATAAGATTGACACCACTTGTTATCTGTTAAAGGTCCAGTGTGTAAGAATTAGGTGAAAGGGAACTATTGTCAGAAATTTAATGTAGAATAATCCTCATGATGTTTTCACGAGTTTGTTTCATCTAAATTGTCTGAATTGTAGTTTTCTTTACCCCAGAAAAGGTCCTTTATTTTAAATACATTATATTTACATCGAGGGAGTCCTCTCTATGGAGGCCGCCATGTTTTTTACATTAGTCCAGACTGAACAAACTAAAACCTTTTGAGTTTTTATGTCAACTGAAGCTACCACAGGTTCTTTTTCATGTTTGCAAGGGGAGGGTGAGGTGAGGGATGTTCAGCTGCAACATGCAATTTCAAAACTATATATCACAAAAATTTACACACTGTACCTTTAAATACAGTATGCTACAGCCAGGAGCCTCTTAGCTTAGCATTAATTTAATCTATAAGAATGGACACAGTGGGAAATAGCTGGAGTCATAGTGTCCATGGTGTTGATGGTGCAAATTTGTGCTGAATACTCAAATAATTGTTCCCCACCCTGATGAAAATGCCTTTTGATGGAAATGTATGCATGCATGTAGGGGTCCTGATTTAGGGGTTTGAAAATGTGGCCTTTCTAGTCTTTCTGGTCAGGTAATGGGTCTGGACTATAGACAGTATATAAAGACGGATGATGCATCTTCACTTTCTCCCATTGTACAAAAATAAAGCCAAAATATCCCAGATACGGACTCCGCCATCTTGGACTTTTGAGGTCATTTAAAGCTAGATTTATGGGGCGGAGCTGCAGTATCGAGTTTCTGCTTGTACATACGCTGGACCAATCACAAGTTGGTGTCAGCGTTCAATCAAGAGGTTTTACCTTCAAACTTATCAGAACAATTAGCACTTTAACAAGCATCGGTTTAGGAGCTGTTCCTAAAATGACAGAAACAATTTTTAAGTAAAATTTGACATGTACTGTGACCTTTTAGTTTGGCCCATGCATATATGTTAACACGCTGGAGGTGGGGTTTATGACTAATACTGCAGCCAACCACCGATGATTTGGCTTCGCCTTTGAGGAGCTTTCATTGTGCCCATCTTTTTATACAGTCTATGGTCTGGACCTTGGTTAATTTTTAGAACATAGAAGTGGTGGCTGTTGCATTTTGTTACCTTTGCCAACCTGCAGCAGCTGATGGCTGTAGCCTTAGAGGTTTTAACAAGTTAAACATCAAAAACAGAGGAGGAACATTTACTGAAAACAATCACAGCACATATTGTATTGTTGAAGGGCCTCACAGCCAAGTCAAAGAAACTAATGACTAAACTTCTATCATTAAAAATCAGCAGCGTTTTTTTGATATGCAATCACCCTCCTCTACATTTTTTATATTAACATTTACTTAGTGATGGCAACATCTGTTATAATAATCACAGGAAAACTAGCAACAGAGCATTTCATTGTTTGAGTGAAGCTTGAAAGCCCCTGTGACACAGATTTCAGATCGTGATTTCAAAAGCCATGTGGTCATGGTGAAGTGGTCAGGGCCAGATGAATGGACTCAGATATGTATTTCAGGTTACGGCCGTTGATTGCGCTCACATTCAGACAGCCACTGGGAAGGAGGTACACATGTCTCCTCTTTGCCAGAAATTCCACCTGCTGATCTAAAACAGACCAAAAAAACACAAGAAGTACAGAAAATACTCAGAGGTTGTTATGATAATATTTCTGTTATTTCATTGGAAAATACTGGTCTTATTTAAAGAAAATTCCATCTGGAATAAAGGGGCAGTAATCATATCTAATGTTGATAAATTAGAGACTGTAAAACATCTGTGGGATGCCAAGATCATAAATATTAATTTAGAGTACACTGATTACAGTTAAAGCCTGTGATTTTCAGGCATAAAGTAAGCTAAAATGGTTTGGAAGGTCTAAAATAGAATAATTATATTGTATTCAAACGCAGCCAGAATATCAGGCTTTCAAAATCATGAATCTATAAAATGCCCCAAGCGTTCCAGTTATTGATTTTTAAAGGATGTATCAGAGGAGATAATAAAGTATTGGAATATCAGCTGTGTTCCGTAATGCTGTCACTCACCTGCTATAGATTATTAGAAAAATAGCCCTTCAAATATTCACAACATGTCAGAAACAGTTTGCTCCTCACCATTCAAACCTATACAACAGTAGAGTCCACCTTGTTGTGTCAGGTGGTCCCAGCAGCCTGGAGTTCCCAGAAGCCTCAGCTTCTCTCTCAAAATGTCTCTGATCAGCTTACATCTCTCAACCATGTGCTTAACTTCTCCCTGCCTGGGGGAGAATATTTGCATCAAATGCTTAGGACACCGGCAGTTTAACATTTTGAAGCATTGTGTGCATGAAGGAATCGCCCAAGGAGTCCAGCTATCACTTCATGCATCTATTGACACAGTAGTGATGCTGCTGTCCAGGCCACACTTTTCAAACACAGATCAGTTATGTGCGTGGAGCTTGACTCACCATTCAGCAAGATGGGCTGGGTTACTGAGCACAGTGGCGACAACATCTGCTCCTCCCACAGATGGCCAGGCCCACAGTGACCTGACTAACTTGACAGCTTGAGACTGCAGAGATAACAGGAGGGAGCTCTGCTTGAACACGCACAGGAGGTGACCCACAGCCTCACCTGATGAGGGTGAAGAACAAGAAGATGAGCCTGCTGCAAAACACTATTTTTTTTCAGTAACATTACTTTATTACTGCTGAAAAAAAGTTGGCTGAGAAAATGAAATAAGTCACTCAGTTCTGGGCAAGTGAATCAAGGTTCATAGAGACACAAGCATAAAGCAAAGAGATGATCTGCCTCATGATGAGTTACACAAGGCAGAGCTCTCTCTCTCTCTCTCAAGAGAGCAATCATTGGAAAGCAACAGAAAACGTGACTTGATACTATGAGCATGTTCCTTCTGTGGAACAATCGAGCAAGGATTGATGCAGTGTTTCCTTTAAAAGCAGAACAGTTTTGAATTCAGTTGATTTAAGGTCACAGATTACAGACTTATTTTGTTGTATGGGCTAACTTTGCAAAGAGGGGTTCCTATGACCATAAGAGACGTACACATTAATCCTTGAAATCAGATGTATATTTAGCATTACTCTTACCGTATAGGCCAAAGCAGTGGGAGAACGACTGAGCACAAAGGAGCTCCATGCCTTGTGATGCACAGAGCTGTACAGGCCAGGCATCCCACTTTAAATCTGCATAGCAGAGCGCCTGAGCAGGCAGCAAGAGGAAAGGGAAGAGCCTGCGCCTCTGTTGAAACAGTGCCAAGACAGCAAATGATGAACCAAGCAGCAGTGAAGTCCTACTTGTCTGATAAAAATCATTTTAGCCATTGTTAAAGACTGTAGTTGTGTCGATACCATGATTAGTTGTGTAATCACAGCCCACTGATCCTGAGAGAGATCTGCTCCGGTTGGATAATGGGCAGAGGCTGACAGGACAACAACACTTTGCTCAGGAGCCCTCTCCAGATCCTGCAGAAGCTTCTCCAAACAAATGCACCGCAGCTTATCATCCCAGTAATAATACTGACGGATATCTTGGATCCCCGCTGCCTGGAAGATACCAGCCAATGAGTCTGCATGGAAGATCAAGTCAAAACATTAGATGCCTAAAGCAGAACAAACTCCTTGACATACCTTAGCATGTAATTACAGTAAGAGGCTTCTACTATGAGTGAATATATTTTTTTAATACTCATTCTTTTTAAAACTAGGATGGCTCAGAAGTACACAAACCTCCACCGAGTGCACAAACCTCCACCCAACAGTCCCTTTAAATTCAATCAAGCTGAACCACATGTCACGCACTCATAAATATGATTTTTTTCTAATCATGATCCATGAATTATTTCCTGGGGAAACTGTGACATTTAAAAAAGAAATCTCTTTGTGTCCATGTCACTTATGTTGCTATGGATCATTGAAATGCTGTCTTATACGTATAATTTGTTCATGTTATTTGCGGCATATACTCAGAAGACATCCTCTAATTATGTAGATAACACATGATTTTGAAGTTAAACATGTAGTGTGTACACTGTAATTGCACTTATCACATTGGTAAAATCAGCTACATCGACATATTGATGTTCCATGAACACAGTTCAAGGCGTGCCACATTTTAAAGCCAATAAACTGGGGGTTGTGTCTTTAAATGCTGTTTACAGGAAGTAGGGTTTTACTCACCATCGCAAGGGGAGGAGAGGTAGACCGGACCGCACCAAGCAGCACCAACATCGAGGCAGTGTCTCAGGAGTTCAGCCCCGAGGCGCACAGCAGCAGTAAAACCAGGAGTCTGGACACCCAACACCTGCAACAAGAGTTGATAAACATGAAGAATTAGGATTAGTTTTTAAGCAACTATGATGCTGAAACACTGCAGAACTGACCTTATATTGATTTGTGTGAATTCATGAGTGACCAGTAAGTCGAGGTAATAGGACTGATTGATTGTATGTGTGGCTAAAGGCCATTTTTGCTACTGCACAAACTGAGTAGTAATTATGCATCTAAGCTATAATTGTGTACATGTAGACCTGAGATTACCCGGCTCTCCACTATAGCCCTGGAGCTCCTCCCCAAAGCACCCTCAGTGGCTCGCCTGGTGAATTCAGTCAGTCCAAGAGAAGATGGATACTCTGGACAAAGAGTGGGGTCGGCGCTTAACTGTTGTTTTATTTTCCCAACGAGATGCAGTTGAAACGTCTTTCCCTCCTCACTGTAATACTCTGTAAAAGACAGTGAGTGCACAGGTTTTTATTTTTTTTTTTTACACTCACACTGAGTCTACCTTAAAATACTTAAATATGTGTATTTCAATGCTTATGTGTGATTTGCAGTTATTCTTGAATTCAGCAGAGCACAGACTTTCACTGAGACCCAAAAGTCCCCTTTAATTCAACCACCTGCACCAAATGTCACACATTCATAGATATCAATCCCCTAAAAATCCTTAATTTTTTTTATATCAAGTTCCACGAGTATCCAATGGGAAATTGGTGAAAATGTAAAAAAATGTTTTTTATAATATTAAGGAAATAGCACCTGATCCAGATATGTACCAAAATTGAATGGGTTCTTTCTCAGTATGGCCCGAGTTTCCTGGGAATTTGTTCATTGGATTTTACGTATTCCTGCTGACAATCAAACAAATAAATAGACAGGAGTGATCATAAACCTTTTGGCAGAGGTAACAATCAGTAGTCAAGTTTAAACCATTGTGGTCTTGTACAGTTATCATCTTAGCTTTTTAATTTAATGGTATGTAAAGTTTTTTTTTTGATGTACCATTAAGTAGGTTGTATATTGTTATAATCGATGGTTTAAAGAATTTAGTGCCCTGGCATGTATATCAAGAACACTCCGGTCCACACAGACCCTCCAGCTGCTCAGGTTTTTTATCCAGAAACATATGTGCTGATCTGAGAAAACCCAACATCCAGGTCTTAAAATGTCCCTTCAGAAATCTGTGGGTGAAATTACATCAATGCAAAATAAACACATAGTTTCTTTATTTGACTAAAAATCGGGTTCACTGTGAATTCTCCCTTAAAATGTTATGAGTCTTAAATCAAACAAAATTTCCAGAGTGAGTCAGAAATTCAGAGTAAATGGTGGGTAATAGGTTTTATCTGCAGTATCACTAGTGATTTTAAACTGATGGAGCCACATTAACTCACAGCTCTTGAAAGTGTGAACAATAAAAGTAAAAGACAGACAACAGCATGTCTTTTTCATACTGGGCATTACAATTATATAAATAATTATTTTCATCAATAGCAATATAACAAAAGTGATGCTTATGCATAGTTGAAGCACAGTGAGGAAGTGTAATACATAACTGATCTAACCCAGTTTTGTAAGATGTTTGTCATGTGTTTAGTTTAAATTCACAACCTTCACTCAGTCTTCAAACTTCAAGAAATAATAACGCAACATATATTATTAATTATCGACTGATAAACATTTTTTTTATCTCGAAAAAATGTTTGACCATACGTCCACCTGTCTAAAAAGGAATGATAACACTGAAACACTGCCGTAATAAACTCAAAATCGATATGTTATGTGTTATAGTGTGTATATATTTTACCTTTGTAATATTTTTGTGTGCTTTTTTTTATATAGTGTCGCTTATTTTAGTATTTTAAAAGTGGATGCAGCTACAATAACACATTTGAATGCACATGGTATAATTGTGACTTGTCTTATAAATTGCAAGTGTTGCTATAAAAGCCCTCCCTCTCTCCCCTCCCTCTGCTTCCGGGTTGTTCGTCCACAGAAGTAAACATCCAGCAGCGTCATCAGTGAGGTCAGATGTTGGGACTCACCCGTGGACTCACCTGTCCCTGTCAGGTCCACTCTCCTGGCCTGAGAGTCCCTCTTCAGGACGGACAGTAGTTTTGAGTCAGGACCAAGTTCCGGACCCTCCGCTGCTTGTGCTGCTGTTGCAGAGTGAGTATTGATCGGTTCACAGTGATGACCTCCCGGGTCTCCTCCATTTTGGTTGACCCGTTTTTCATCGCGACCACCGCTGGGTCGACTCATCTTCTCACCCCGCGAGCAACATCCGGCCTTTTGTTTTGACTCTGTTGCCAGGCTACAGCACGCGTCTGGATACCGTCACCCGGGCAACGGTGATGGATGAGTTTGTCCCTCTCTAATTTGCGGGTTTGCTGTTGTGAGTTTACTTTGGTCACAAAGAGATATCGTCATCAGACAGGACCTGTTATCAGCTCTGGTAGAAAAGACCTCAGCTGTTTGTTTGAGCCCCAAACACTGAACACAAATCAGAACCCACCTACTATTAACGTGTGTTGTTGGTTGTTCAACAGGCCTGCAGCCTCCTTACATTAATGAAGAGCTAGTGTTTGAGTGTATGGAAGTCAATCTGTCTCACAGCACGTTGAATATATGTTATTTGAATATTTCAAACCTTGATTTTTAAATTCAGAGTTTTGTGAGGGGAATGAAGTATTGGAAATTTGAAGAGTTTAATTTAGAGGTAAAAATCAAATACAGAATGAGATGCAAAATATTAAAATGATATATATTCAATGTACTCAAATTAAACATCCAGGATTTCAAGTGATTGTAGTTCGAACTGAACCAACATTCAGCTGATCACATTATGCTCCATAGAGGAAAATAATTCAAATATATAATTCCAATGCAAAAAAATGTGTTACAAATTCACAGGCTTAAAATCCTAAATCTGGTGGGACATATTTAGGGAGTGAAGGAAGGTTTGAAATATTCAAATAAGATAAATTAAGCATGCTTAAAGTCGAAAGGCAGTATTCAGACGAAACATCCACGATTCTAATGATAAGCAATTGATTCTGGCTCGTACTAAACCAACAGAAGAAGAACATTTCACTGCTCGAAATTCAAAGGCTTTTAAATTCCAAAATCCTGTGAAATAGATATCACTCCACATTTAGGTTTATTGAAATCAACATCAGAATCAGATTTCTATTTATTGCAGAGTAGGTTTTTCATCATAGAAGGAACTCGCTCTGGGCTGTGGTGCATAAACATGAGCTGGACATATTCAGAATATATTTTTCAAAGATTTCCTGCTTTCATTACTTTCATTGAATCCTCTTCATACAGAGTAGATTACATTTTATGCCCCCTGGCATATTTTTCTAGATCAAACTTACTTCTATATTTAGAAATTACATTTCCTCTGCATGTGTTAGTGTCATATCTTTCTGCATATGCCTGTACAGCAAAGCATACTTATGTACTCAGTTCCAGAGGAAGAGGAGATATCCAGCTTTCTCCCCTCCCTCCTCCCTCGTCAAGTTACAAAATACCACTGTTGTGCTTGTGCATCCAGGAAATAAAGCAGTTCTCCTGCAGGGAGACAGCAATATGGGACAGCCATATTGTGGGGATAAAGACAAGGCAGCGATTCTAACAGTAATCGAAAACCCAGAATCAAAAACATCTTGCAGCTATTATATTGAGGAGCGGAGCAGCGAGCCAGGCTGTGTAATTCACTTCCCGGAGCTGATAATCACAAGTCACTGCACTAGATGGCAGTAGATGGTCAAACCATGCGGTTGGTCTAGTCTAGTTGGTCATTAGCTGACCTGGAGTAATTTAAGAGCTTTCCACCCACTGTAATATTACTCCCAATACCTATCCTCATATAAGCCTCATTATGTGCAACAGTTTTTTTCCAGTCATACAGTAAGGAGGCTTGCATTCTTTCCTAAAATGTAATATATGCTTCAGGGCTGCTGGCTATACCAAGACCTTCCTTTGTCTTTGTGGGAGTGTTAAGAGACTAGAAAATGGGTTTTTTCGTTTTATTCTGAGCGACTGACAACAAAATATTCCCCTGTGACTTAGTTCATCGCTGTTTTCTTCATATCAAACTGCACCTGGCTGCATCATGATTGTCCATTACAGTAAGAGAAAATGCCCTCATGCTACAAACTGGGTGCAGAAACTAAGAGCTGCAGTTCCTCTATTGAAGCCACTGTTGATTCTGTGACTCCAGATTTGTGTTGATCTCAGGAAAAGACTTGATTCATCCTCTACTTTACTGGAGTCTATTATTAGAGTGATTGGTAACAAAGAGGTTGTAAGCTGGACCCAGTGGTATGTAGCTTTTTTTCACGCCACCGTTTTCCCAGCTTGAATATGGTACTTATCTAATTAAGGTGCTGTTGGCTCCATTAGATTTAAACTGCTGAGTCCTGAAATCTGGTGTCAAAGGACTTTTTTGTCTGAGGGCCCCTGTGTTCCAAAAATATCCGTCTGTCCTGAAGAGAACTGTAGTGTTACACTCAGCTCAGGACGAGCTGCAGGCACAGGAGAGGGTTAGTGGAAAATGAACTACTTAAAGTTCAGTGATGTGCATGTGCAATCAAGAGGAAACACTTCAAAGTATATCCAAGGTTAAAAGTGTTTAATCACACATCAGTTTTTCATTAGAGTTCCTTTGTCATCATAGAAAACATTAAAGAGCATCCTCTAAAAATGTAAGTAAAGCCACATGGAATTTATTGTATCACCACATCGTATCGAAAAGAGTTTCTCCGTAAACAAAAACATATTTTGTCATTATGCAAACCCTTCAGCTCCATGATTTGATCATATTGAACGGACATAGTTTTTGATTTGGTCATCTATAGTCCCAGCTGTTTCTAAAGTGGTGGCTTCTCTTTTCCCCCCTAAAATGTTAATAATCGATTTCAGTGTAATCCTGCTCATGGAAAACAGTGTAATAGGGATCAGTTTCTAAGAATGTGGCTTGATTTCCGACTTGATAATTGTTTCCACACACCGAGCTGCTGTTGCTCTTTCTGCTGGATGATGGTTGAGACTTCACACAGCAGAGCGTCTGGCAGAGTGCTGGTCACAGTTTGTTGTCAGATGTCATGCATTCTGTTCTTGGATTATTTTTAAAAGTCCAGAATCTTGTAGTATTCCTCTCACAACAGAACATGAAGTCTGCTCAAACAGTAGCAGAGCCAGACGTGACTGTGGTTTTGGTGTTTGGAGACAATGACGGTTTTTTAAGATTGTGTCTTAAACTCATATGGACAGTATCAAGAGTCATGGTGTGTGGTGGTATATAGATCCCCAAGGGACTAAATCAGTGGCTTTGCATTTAAAGAGATGGAAAAATAAAGAATATATTACAGTTACACAAAATAATGTGTGTTTTGTCCTGAAAGTTTCCAGAAGTTGTTTTTCTTTAAACATGCAGGATTCTTTCAACTCATCAGGCCTCTAAAATCCTTAAAATGAAACAACCAGACACTTCTTCAATCAAATTGATCACAACTCACATCTGTAATGAAGTCATGAACTCATAAAGGGTCGTAATTATAAATAGAATTTTTAGAATCACAAGCCAAAACGTCTGAGAACCACTGTAGTTCAGACAATGATCTGCTGACAATGTATTGAGGCCAGTAAAGGCCATAATCATTCTTACTTTAGTATGTCATCACTGACGAATTATTCTAAAATAGTCATCCATCTGAATCAATGTGGTTTGAATTGATCTTTTTAAAATTGGGCCATGGCCGAGGTATGAACTCTCTGCAGTCAGGCCAACTGTCATTCGTATCTCCATTGTCAAACTAGCTGACTTTACATTTGCAGGGCTCCTGTATTCTGACCTTCATGGTAAAACAGCACACAGCGAGCTGATTTGGGGCTCGCCCACGGCACCATACAAACTAGAACTGCCACACATAACTTCACAATACAGAGTTTTGATAGATTGTATTGTCAGCACATAAAACACACATGAGCAGTGTCACACAGTTCTATAATATTTTATTTCTCATTGCGACGGATGATGTTACGTAATTAATAATGCATTACAAAGTGTCCCAGTACAACAAAATAATGGATTTATATCAAGTCCATGATCAAATCATTATTTGTCTATCTCTGGACATTTCAGAGTGTGTTATTGAGCTTATACTGCCACTTACCAAAGAGACACAGCATGTAGCGGATGGATATTAGCATGTCTAGCTGCAGTTTGACTGTACCGTGAGTGATTTATACTGATGGTTAAATTTAGCCTGAGATCTCCTGTAGGATTTGAGCCATTTGTTATAGTTGCAACATAAACTGATTAAGACGAGGACAGAGGTTCCCAAACTATTCAGACCCCCCAAATAACAATGCCAGAGACTTTCAACCACCGTTATCACAAAAGAATCTGCTATGTGCACATGTTGCAGTGTTTCGTGTGGTGCTGTAAACTGACCTGCTGCAACTGATGCTGCCACTAATCTGTCATCAGAAGACTGATGATTATTTGTATGATTTATTTTTAATTTAAGCTTTTGGAACAATCATTGATTTGATATGATAATAAGAATTGTTTTTAAATTGTATGTGATATCCAGAATTCATCTTGCGACCCTTCCTCTGTGCTGCGACGCCACAAGGGGTCCCCACCCCTAGTATGGGAACCAGTGGACTATAGGAGATTTAAGCAAGATAATAATTGTACGGGTCCAGACTCGAAACAGAAAGATTAAGACGAAGGAGAGACAACAGAACATTTGAATGCACAGCCCTTTGGTTTAGCTTAAATTACACTGATGACATTTTTTTCTTAACTGGACAGTAACAACAGCTTTACCTTGTATCAGGTCAGACAGCTTTTGTACCCTGCATTCAGTGTATCATAAATAGATAACTTACAAGATAATATATTATACCAAATGATTTGATGCTATTATTTTTTAAGACTACAGACGAAATGCGCTGTGCCCAAAGGCTCACTGGAATACATTTCACCCTCGTAGCTAAGTAGTGTCTCATATTCAGGAACAGACGCTCTTCTGTAAACAGTATTGAGGCGACACCGGTGTCAGCTAATGTCTGTGAAGTGCTGACTCACAGCAGCCTATCTCCTGTGCACAGAGCCAGTCACCGTGTCCCTGCTTGTTTCTGTCCATCCAGTCACCTCTTTAGGGTTCAGCTACGTTTATCAGGGCCAGTAGTCACACTCTTCTTCAGCTTGTCCTCACCGATGGTTGGCCTCAGCCTTTGCAGGG